ACTCTCTCTCTCTCACTCTCTCTCTCTCTCACTCTCTCTCTCTCACTCTCTCTCTCTCTCTCTCACACACACATGCTTGCCCCTCTCGTGCCCTCTGATTAGCATCAGAGCCAGAGGGCGAGAGCCGGGCATGTTTCCTGGCCTGCGGGGAAGATTTTATTGCCCGACGGAGTGGGCTGGATCGTGTGTCATGCGCTGGGGGGGGGGGGGGGGCGTCCAGAGGCGGCTATGTAGAAACGCCGACATGCGCTCGCAGAGCACGCCGTAGCTACCGCCGAGGGGCGATACACTAACGGAATACCCCGTGACCCCGATCAGCGATCGGGCTTTGTAATGGCAGCATACTGATCACCCGGACGAAAGCATGCCTCGTGCCCACTCCCCACACGTTCGCGCGGGGCTCTGCAGGGCAAATTTAGTCCATAGCATGGATTTACGTCAAATCCGCATGTTCTTTGTCCTCCTGTTTCCAGAAGACACCAACTGCCACCCCTTTCGCCAGGGACTGCGCATGAAGCGGGTTCCAGGCTGGCCGGTGCACCCATACACACGTAGGGGCAGGGGGCCCCTTTGGGGAGACCTGAACGCAGGAGGGCGGGGCCTTGCGGGGAAGTATTTGCACGAATCAACAAGGGGAGCCGGATGCCCCTCCCCCGCGAAGCCGGAAGCTGGCCGGTTGGCGGCAGGATGAGGCCCCGGGGTCCGATCGCCACCGTGTGAGCGTCAGTGGGTGGGCCTCACCGAGAGGTCTCCCGGGCGAGGGGGGGGGGGGGGGGGGGGGGGGGGGGCGCTGCGCGCGGGACGATTTCTCTTTGTCACCCCCGTTGGGTGTGCAGCTGGATGGCCCCACCAAGGGTGAAAGGCAGGGGGGGGGAAGGGACTTACAGCCCCTTCTCTTGTGCGCTAGCCTCGAGTAGTACCTTCATCGGACGCCTGGGGCGTGTGTTCAATTGCGCAACTCGAAGGTAATTTCGATCCGAGGAGCCGCGGTGTTCCCCTCGTTTTGGTGCTCCATTCTCCAACCGCAAGGCCCTCGCCTCCCAGCCCCGCCGGGCCCTGGTCCACAATAGAGCCCCTGCATTTTGGGTCCCCGAATCGGCCGGCGCCTGATTGGGAACATTTGGTCCTCCACCGGGGCCTGTACGCCGGGTCCAGGCCCGCGGCGACCAACCGGGGCAAGGGAAACCCCGCTGCTGAGATCATTGGCAAGACAGTCTCCAAGGTGCCGTTCTTCCCGCACCGATTGGCGAGATGGATGAAAGGTCGACCCCGGCAAACACGCATCGGCAAGGGGGGGCTCCCTTTGGTGGACCGCCACACTGGTAGGCGGCTTCCGCCCGCCCCTCCCCCCCACACACAATCCAGGGGGCCGGCTGCCAGCGCCTCTTTCCCGCGCGCATGTGCGTGTGCGGGTGTGTGTCTGCGCGGGGTGGCGAGAGGGGAGGGGGGCTGTGACCCAGGAAGGAGTAGAATGTTTACCCGCGGCTGTCCACGCATTTTGTGCGACCCTGCCGGGGATCCCGCCGGCAGAACGGCCGAATCAGAGTTTCCCCACACGTACACATACACACACACACTCACTCATACGGGCCCACGCGCGACTGCTGATCACTCTCCCTGGCCTCTGCCCGTCGTTCTCCTCCTCCTTCCCCAACATCTACGCCTCACTCCTCGCTTTCCATCTACCGACATGACTTCTACCTCCACCGTGGCTGCCGCCAGCAAGGGTAAGAAGCGCCGTGGCAAGGGCCGCGCCAAGGCCACTGCCGCCGACACTGGATCCTCCGTCGCCCAGCCCCCTGCTGGCGCCCCCTCTCCCGCCACCGCCGACACTCAAGTCAATCAGGCCCCCGCTGCCGGACGCCGGGTCCGTCGGTCCAATGCGCCGAGCTCCTTCTTGTCGGAGGCCCCGCCCAACTCCGAGACGGAGCCCGACTCGGTGGCCCTGCGCCGGATCATGATGCATCCGGATGTCAACATCAAGCAGCTCCCGCGCGGGCTCTTCAGTGCCAACATCTCCGAGCAGGCCTTCTTCGGCTCGCGTTACGATGATGACAGTGTGCGCGCTCGTGGTCTCTTCGTGGAGCTGCTGCCGGAAGTGTGCCCGGGCCTGGCGCCGACTCCGGCTCCGGCCTCGGCTGCCAAGGCCGCGGACACCGCCACCGAGTCCGGGTCCGAGCTGGATGGCTCTGACGATGAGGGTCAGGATGAGGGTGCCCCGTCTGCGGAGGTGGTTTCCACTTCGCGCCGGGCCCGCATGACCAAGGCACAGAGCGCCCTGAAGGCGTCCTTCCGGCAGTCGAATGTCGCGGTCGCCGTCTCTGGGCGTGGGTATGCCAAGTTCTTCTATGAGAATGAGCGCGGCATCCCCTTCATGGCTACCGAGCAGGTTCGCCAGCGTCTGACCTTCCCGTGCACGGTGCTCGAGAAGTCCAACGGCTACTTTGGTGTGTCGTTCCCGCGTTTGCGCGCATCCGCCACCCGGCCCCTGCCGGCGCACTTCTCCCCCGGCGACGGGGCGCGCGAGCTCCGCGAGCTGGACGACCTTGATCGGGCCACCGCGCGCGACTTTTTCGCCGGTCGCGGCGTTGTCCCGGCCCCTGCCCATGTGCTTGATGATGAGATCTACCTGGAAACCACCAGCAAGTCCGTCATCACCGGTCCCTTTGCTGGGCGCTTCCGCGAGCTCCTCCACCAGACCCTGCTCGCCGCGGGCAAGACGCTGGTGCGCCCCATTCCCTCGCTCCCCCTTTCGCAATGGTCCTCCCTCGGGCCTTCGCCAAGACACCGTTCCTCTGACACGACTGCATCTCTCTCTCTCCCCCCCCCCATCCCTCCTGCTCCTGCTCCTGCTCCTGCTCCTGCTCCTGCTCCTGCTCCTCCATTCATCAGGTTGACTATGTTCGCCGCATCCACGAGCTCGGGTGCAGCGCAGTTTTCGAGATTGTCGATCCGGTCCTCGATCCGCACATCGTCGACTACGATGTGCCGGGCTACACCAACGTCGGGCATGTCATCCTCCTGGACCTGATCCGGAACAACCTGGCCGACCGTGCCGAGCTGCGCCTGCCTTTCGAGGAGACCCGGGCCTTCGCCGTGGAGTTCGGCCTGCGGCTGAAGACCCCTCTGGCCATTCTGCCCGACTGGGATACCTATGCCTCCTTCACTCGCCAGGCGAATCATGACTACTTCTTCCGGTGCCCGGCCCCGGGCCCCGGGGCACGCGTTGATCCCGGCCTGCCCGGGCGCGGAGAGCATTTGCTCTACTCGCTGGAGCCCTTCTCCATGGGCGATGGCTCGGCATCCACATATCATGTGGGGCTTCCGACCGAGGGCCTGGTGGTGGAGGACAGCAGCGGCTTCATGATCAAGCTCAAGTCCAACTACTACAATGTTTGGAAGCGCGCGCGGTCGCTGGTGCAGCAGGGGTTCGCCCAGCCGAACCCGCCGGAGCGCATCGCCAGCCGCTACAAGGCCACCATGGCCAAGGAGCCGGCGCTGATTCGGTCCTTCTTCGACTACATCCGCGACAACCACGCGGCCATCCTGGAAATTGCCCGTTCGGAGCCCTACCTTTCGCTGTCCACTCGGCGTCTTCTGTCCCAAACTTCCCCCCGGCGCTCGGATTCCATCACCCTCCTGCAGCAGTCCCTCAGCATTGTCGATCTGCGGAACATCTTTTACCGTGCCACCGGGGCCAATGACATGACCGACATCAATTCCAGCCTGACCCCCGGCGAGCAGAGCACCATCGGCCCGCAGATCCCCACCCCCACGGTCCTCCTGGTGATTACCACGCCCGGGCAGAAGCTATCGGAGCATGTTGCCGCGGATCTGGCCCGGAAGCTGCACCTGAACCCGGCCAATGCGGTCGTCCTTCCCCGGACCACGGACAAGGCCCCGGGGCACATCCTCCAGGCGGCCGATGTCAGCAAGGTGGTCACCACCGGCACCTCGCGCCGGGCCACCGGCGGTGTCTTCACCAACCCCACGGTCCTGGCCCCGGTGGATGCTCAGCATTTGGCGCCCTTCCTCAAGGCCCTCATGGGGTCGCTTAAGGACATCCCCCTGCGGCACATCTTCCTTGTGTCTCCCACGGTGGATCCGAACACTCGTGCCGATTCCCTGAGCGCTGCCTGTCGCGTCACCTTTGACCGGTCGGAGGCTGTCCTGCCGGCTGGGCAGTTTACCGCCCTTGTCGAGGGGGTGCCCGATGCCCTGGCCATGGCGGCCAAGGCGGCCGGGCTGGCTGCCAAGTCGCCCGCCATCCCGCGTCTGACCCGTCTGTCGGTCACCCTGCCGACTGGGTCCATGAAGGCTGCTGCTCGCACGGAGGACCTGGCCAACCAGGTGTTTGCCCAGCTGCAGACGCTGGAGTCGCAGCCGACCGTGTCGGTGGCGGACCTGCTGGCTTCGGAGCCCCTGACGGCTGCCGCATTGGATGTGCCGGCCTTCCACTCGGCCCTCGGCGAGGCGTTGAAGACCGCCCGCGAGGGGCGCCTGGCGCGTGGCCGGCGCCTGGTCCTGGTCATGCAGGGTGTCCCGGGCATCGGCAAGTCCACCATCGGCGACTGGCTGGCCGAGACCCTGCCTCGGTTGTCTGGCGCGCCGAAGGTTGAGCGCATCAGTCAGGACATGTGCAATGGAAAGCGCGAGCGCTTCTTCGCCCGGCTGACCGAGGCCCTCAGCCGTCCGGTGACCGCTCAGCCGCAGGTGCTGATCATCGATCGGAACAACCACACCCTGGCTCACCGTGGGGCGGTTGTGCAGCTGGTCCGGCGCGTGGCCCCGGATGCGCTGCTTGTTCTCCTGGCCCCCGGGCGTTTGCCGGATGCCGGGGCCTTCGCCGAGGGGACCGACCTGCTGGAGCACTCTCTGAAGAACCTTGTGACGCGTCGCAACGAGGAGAATGCCTCGCTCGATGCCATGCCCTTCGCCAAGCGCCGGGCCGTGGTGGCTCGCTTTGGCCAGGAGTATGAGCGTCCGGATCTTGGGCTTCTCGCCGCTGTGCAGGCCGCCACCGGGGTCGGGGGGCATTCGGTCTTTGACCTTTCCCCGGAGAGCACTCCCCTGACGACTGGGCGCTTTGGGCAGGATGGTCTCCTCTTTGACGAGTGCCTCCCGGTCCCGTATGGGGCTCCGGTGGCCGAGGTCCTGGGGCACATTTTGCGGACTCTCCAGCCGCTGGCGCACCGTCCCGGGGTCGACGCCTCTTCCAAGGACATGGTCTTTGCCCCGCTGGCCGGGCTGACGGCGGCTTTCATTGCGACGGCCACCCAGGCGGCTGCCGCCGCATGCCCTCCCCAGGCCGATGACGAGGCGCTTGGTCGTCTGGCCGAGCAGCTGGCCGATGCCAAGATCGCTGACTCTCTCCCGGAGGACCCGTTCATGCAGTCCATCGGCTGGCACAAGCCCGGGCATCCGCTGTACTTGCAGATTCTCCTGGACAAGGGGGTGTCGCGCTTCCTGCATCAGCTGTATTCCGACATGACGCCGAAGGACCTTCTCTCCAGCCTGCCGCCGCGCGATGTCTCTCTCTTCCATGTGACGCTTGTCTTCCTGGGAAACAAGTGTACGTTTGTCCGCCTTCGTTGTCCGCCTTCGCATGCACGCGCACACACGCCCCCCCCCTCCCCCCCCGAGTTTTCCACCCATCTCCTGAATATCACTTCTCACCTCGCGTTTCTGGCTCCTCTCCCCCTCTTGCCGGGATCCCCCTCCCCTCCCCCCCCCCCCTTCGTCACAAACACAGACACCCCGCCGGCCAAGCCGACTGCCGAGAGTCGCATGTTGCAGGCCATCCGTGACTTCCATGCGGCGGCTGGCGCCCCGACCACGCCCATCAAGGTTGCGCTCACCGTGGACCTCCTGGCCCTGGATCCCAAGCAGGCCGGGGCCTTCTGCGTGGCCCTGCCAGATGCCCTGCAGGCTGGCTGGACCTTCAGCAACCGGGCGCCGCACATCACCATGGGCCTTGCCCCGAGCAAGGCGCCGGTGGTGGCGGGTGCCGTCGCGGTCGCCGCCCGTGCCGGTGCCTCCTCCACTACGCGACTCCCCATTTCCCAGGCCAATATCCCGGTCTCCGTCGAGCAGGCCCCCGGGGTGAGCTTCACTGCCGACGGCCAGTTGGTCGTGACTGGCACGCTTTGCTTTGGCCCTCAGCCATCCGAGAAGTGAGCCACCTGGATTATCCCTCCAGTGGTCTGTTCTCTCTCTCTCTCTCTCTCTCTCTCTCTCTCTCTCGATCCCAGGAGAGTAGCAAATAAACATATGCCACCATCATTTTTTTTTTCGTTCGTCCTCCTCCCCCACCCCCCGCACCTGTCTCCTCATCTCTCGCCCTCTTCCCTCTCAGCAGCCTGCACGCCTCCTCCAGCCCAAGTCTCGTGGAGGAATGACACACCAGAAACACATGGGAAAAGGCCATGGGTGCATTGGGCCGGTCAGTCTCCACCCGGCGCCAGAGGAAACCAATCCCCGGTATGGGCGGGGGGTTGGGTGGGGGGGGGGGCGCTTACTCGGAGAGGCGCGGCCGCTTGCGCGTGCGCGTGCCGCTCGCCGGGGACAGCTCATTGTTCTCGTCATCCTCGTCAGTCGCCGGGTCAATGGGAGCTCCCCCATCATCCGAAGGATCGGCCACTAGGGCGGCCGCCCGGTCGGACAGCCGGCCGCGCTTGGTCGTCGGACTCGCCGGCGCCGCTCCCGGGCCCGGGTGCAGCATCATGTGAAGGTCGGTCGCCGAATCCGAGGCACCCACACGTCGAGAGGGCGTGGCCCCACCCGCCGGGACCGGGGACGGTGGGACCGCCATGCCCAAAGATGATGCCAGCCCGCTCGGCCGCCGGGGATCACTCGAGCCGCCAGCCAGGGGAGAGGCTGGCCGCAGAGGGGCTCCACCAGCCAGAGCCGCTGCCACGGCCGACGGCGACATTGGCTGGTCCAAGGAGTGGTGATCCAGGCGGAAGGGCGATTGTCCGCCGGCACTGCCCCCGATGATCGGTGATAGGTCCGCCATTCCGAAGGACAGTCGACCTGGAGCCGGGAAGCCGCCGGACCCCGGCCGCGGCGGCGAAGTGGCCGACATGCTGGCCGACATGGGCGACAGGGGAACCGGCGCAATGGCGCCAGACCGTGGGGTCGGCGGAACACGAGGGACAGATCCAGCCCCGGGAGCAGGCGATTCGCCGGGCATGCCTGCAGTGGCCGGGCGCGGTCGATGGCTGACATCCCGGCTCGCGGGGACCGGTGTGGCAGCAACGGCCAACTCTGTCGTGGGTTCCGGGCCTGGTGTGGCGGCAGCAGCCTCGATGGCTTCGGCTTCAGCGGCAGCGATGGCGGCCTGGGTTTCGGCCGCCGGGCGCGTCACGCGCCGACCCGCGCGGCCCCGACCCCGAGCCGTCCCGGTTGGGCCCGGCACCGCCGGCAGCAGGAGAGCCACCTCGCTCGACACGGAGGACAGCCACCTGCGAGTCTTATCCGTGAACAGGACAAGACCATCCACCGGGGGAAGCTTCGACCCGGGCACGCCATCGGCCGGGGCCACAGGTGCACCTCCAGCCGGCACATCCTCGCCCTTGACCTCGGGCCCGGCTTCCAGGGTGTCGTCGGCTTCGGTGGCACGTTTGCGCCCACGCGCGGTGCGGCGCTTGGGGGCCGCCGACTCGGCCAAAGTGCCCACCGAATCACCCGCCAGGCTGGCCAAGCTTGCCAGGGGGTGCGTGTGCTGTGCCAACTCCAGCAGGCGCGCGATGATGGTGGCAAACAGGGGCAGGGCCGCCTCGCCAACCACATCCCAGGCAAACACACGACATAGGCCCTGGGCCGTGGCATTGCAGAGTTCCCGCGCGGGGATTCCCTCGGCCAGGGCCACCCGCCGATCATACCGCTCCAGTGCCAGCGGCGATGCTTGGGTGTCAGGATGCCGGACGAGGGTGTCCTGCGCCGTGTACGACCCCCGCGCCAGCTCGGGAATCCCCTCCGACTGGTGGTGGTACTCGTCGTACAGGGTCTCAAACAAATGCAGCATGTCCAGGAAGGGATTCTGCACACTGACAACATTCTGGTCAGCCCCGGCAGCACCGTCCGAGAGCAGGCCATTGGTTTCGCCACTGTCCTCGACCGCCGGAGCATACGATGGCGGGTGCACCAGTGCATCTCGATGCGTCAGCAAAATGTCAAAGCAGGCGAATACACCGGTCTGCCGAGCCTCAATGGACTCCTCGGTGGCACGGGCCAGCTCGGCAAAGCTGGCGAACATTTCCGTCGCCAGGTGCACATCCAGCAGGGCCGCCGCGCCATAGGACTCGAAGGCCAGCACACGCAGCTTGGGATCCCCCGACAGGGTGTGGCACTTTACAAAGTCATTCAGCATGTCCACCGCGCCGGGAAGCTCGAACAGCGGCTACAACCGAGGGACGGCGTGCAAAGGGATGTGAGTGCCTCGGAAAAGGGCGTGGGTGCACGTGCGTCCGTGCGTGTGCCGGGCAATGGCAAAGCCTGTGCTCGTACCGTATTGATCAGGCGCAATGCGTCGCGATACAGGGTGAGGCTCTTTTCCAGGAAGATGGGCTCCAGGATCGGGCTCTCGGCAGAGAAACGCAGCATCGAATGGATGAGCTCGACACAATTGCTGCATCGCGAAGGCAATTGGAAGGGTCAGCCAGCGTGAACGGAGCAGCCGGAAGGAAAGAGCGAGAAAAGGGGCGCGCGCGCGCGCGCGCGCGAGAGAGAGAGAGAGAGAGAGAGAGAGAGAGGGAAAAAAGCAACACCAGCTTTTCCAGGGGTGCAACATACTCGACGAAGTCCAGCTCGGTCACATGGAGCTTGCACATGGACTTAACCGTCGGGGTCCAGAGACTGCTGGAAAGGGTCGGCTGGACAATAATCTTCCCCAGGAGACTCATCATGTTCATGCGACCCACCTCATCCGAAGTGTCAAGGGTCTGGCGAGGGGAGACACGTCAGGACTAACAGACCGCCGACCAGCAACACACCAAACCCAATGGCACGCACATTGCAAATGAGCAGCAGCTGGTGATAGCAGAAGGACAACTGGGCCAACTCGGTGACCGCCGACGAGGGGGACAGGGCCGGGGCGGCCGGCGGCGAACGCAACCCATGCCGACGGGCGCTGCTCTGGGTCTCGGCATTGGCCAGGCGCTTGGACCGGCGCTGGACGTCCATCGGGGTAGTTGGCGATCCGAGGCCGGGATTCCCGAGTGCCGGGGAGCCCGGGACACTGCCCCGACCTGGGGTCGACAGCGCCGACAAGTCACCGGCCGAGCTCGGCCGCGGGCTGAAATCCCCGCCGGCCGCCAGTGGCGGGCCATCGCCAGCCCCCCCCTCAACGGCCGGGTCATCCTCCGTGCTGAAGGGGTCCGTGATGACCAGGCTGGCAATGGTGGCGGCCTGCTGGCTGGGATCCGCACACAGGGTCAGGATTCGCATGAACACCTGCATGAGGGCCGTGGCCACGCGCGTCAACTCGGGAACCGCTTCGTCATAACGCGGCGAGGGCTTCTCTGAGATGTGCTCGCAGAAAGCCCGCGCTAGGAGAGCCGAGTCGGGGACCGGACTCCGCAGCAGGGTATCTGATGGAGGAGGCACAGACGGAGTCAGAAGGGGAATGAGGGCAGGCAGAAGGGGCGCACGTGCGCCGTCTGGGTCTTCGCGCCGAGGGCACACCACGCACCAATGGGCATGACAACACTTGGGTTGGCGTTGAAGAAGGCCCGCAAGGCGAGGGACAGGGTGTCAGCGTGCTCGAGCACATCAAAGTCCGAGAGGAACTGCGCACAGTGGGGGGTCGATGGACCAAAGGAGGATGGTTGGTGGTCAGCCGCAAGCAGCAAAGAGGATGGGCAAATGAACCTCCCGCGAAAGGAGACCCCCAAGCACACACGGCAGGCACATACCGACAGGAGGTTGGACTTGTAGTGGCCACGAATCCAGCCATTCAAGGCCAGGGAGCAAGCCTTGCGAATGGTCTCATCCTGATCGCGTAGACCATTGCCCAGCAGCACCACGCGCTGCTTGGGCGAAAAGAAGGTCACCTCAATCTGGGGGACAATCCGGCTGCGGAGGAAGGGGACGACCATCAGTCGGGGCCGGACGCCGGCAGAACAGGGCGGGAGCCCGGGGCAAAAGGGCGGCGACAAGGGATGCGTACACACCGGAAGAGGTACCGCCGCACGCGAGGGTCCACATCACGACTACGCTCCACGATGACATGGGAGTTACGCGGCGTCCGGTCGATGTTGTCAAGGACGGCCTTGCGCACGGATCTATGCATGTCCGCGTCATAGCCGGCGCAGTCGAGGTCAGAGACAGACAGGCAGGCAGGCAGGCAGGCAGGCGAGACAGATAGGGGGGAGGACCCGAGGAGAAAGGGAGCCGGCCGGAGGAGGGCCGACGCATATGCCCCTGGCAGACAGCCAAACACGCACCCACTCTGATCCACGCGAATGAGTTCGGAGAAGCGCCGGATGATGAGGTCCTCCTCCGGGTCCTCGGTGTTGTCCAAGATGGCCCCGCTCATGGAGATGCTCCGGGACAGAGGGGGCGGGGCCAAATTCCCGCTGTCATCGTCAAGGACACTCCCCTGGAAATTGGACAGGAAGTACACCGACTGGATGCGCACGAGCGAATCCACGTCGTTCGTCCGCGCGCCAACCCGGTCGAGCGCTTCCTCATACAGGTCAGGGCTGGGCAGAGGGGCCAGGCAAGCCCGCGCGCGTGTGCGCGTGTGAGCGTGTGTACGGGTAGGCGTGAGAAAAAGAAAGAAAGGACGCAGAGCCACGAAGAGTGAACCTGCCGAGGGAGATGTATATATATAGAGAGAGAGGAGGGGAGAGCGGGAGAGAGAGAGGACGACAAAAGATAGGAGAGGAGGGGCAAAATGGATGCACGTACTCCAGGTCGCTGATGTTGACGATCAGATACACGCATAGCTGGCAGATGCGAAAGCGGATGAGCTTATTGCGGGAGTCCACACCGCGCAGAAGGAAGCGCAACAGCGCCTCATTGTATTCAGTGCCCAGGGTGTAGTGAAGTTGGTCCTCCTCACGCAGACGCTTGGAGCGGCGGTCGGCCGTCTTGGCCGGGGGCCGGGCTTCGCCATCCTCGGCGACTGACTGGCTGGCGTCCTGCGCCACACGACTACGCTTCTGGAGAAACTCGCCGTAATTGGCAAACAGCTTGACCAGGCGCTCGACCGAGGCCTCGCGCCGCCGGATCGACAGCACTCGCAGCAGCAGCACACACATGACCTCCATGAAGGCCTCAGTGCCGTGGGTAACATGCTCCGCTCGCAGGAGGTGCAGCGCCCGCCGGGAGTTCGCTGCCGACACTTGGGCATCTTGCAGAATCTGGCTGACAGCCTGGCCGAGCGGGCTCCGCAAGCAGGCCAGCTGCTGTTGGATCTCCAGCTGCTCGGCTGAGAGGGGCTCGGGCGCGAGGGCCGTCGGGGTGGGAGGAGCGGTCGACGTCTCGGCAGTCGGCGGCTCGGGGGCGACGGCGGTCTCAACCGCCTTGCGCCTGGGAGCCATGTTGTGTCGGGGGGAGGGGGCGAGGGGAGAGTCTGTGTGCACAAGCGGTGTCGAAGGGATGGAGGCGGGGGCAGAGATTGAAGAGATGGTGGGAGGATGGAGGAGATGCACTGTCAAGCACTCACAGTTGTGCATGGTGCGCCGCGACATCAGATCCCCCCTCTCTCTGTTTCTCCGTTGAGACTTCTGGACTCCAGAGAGAGAGAGAGAGAGCGAGGGCCCGGGGTCGCCTCAACGAGAGGGCGTGTTGCAAACTGCCTCGGCCAGGGGGTGCGCTCAGCAAGTGGGGAGAGATCTTAGGATCGATTCCCAGGGCGGCGATCTTCCCCCCGTGGGGCCCCTCCTCCCGGCGGGGCACGGTCCCTTGGCCGCCTTCTCCACCGTGCAAGCGCGCACCGCGCGTGAGGGAGTCGTTCTCCTGTTCCCCCGCCCCCCCCCCCCCTCGTCTGGTTGCGATACATCAGCGCCGCTGGGCTTTTGTCTGGAAGTGCAGGAAGAAACGGTCTCAACTCATGTGATTATTGTATTCTATTGCCAACGGGCCTAGTGCGCTGGGATCTCGGTGCGCCGGGGTGTACAGAGACGCGTGGTACACATGGGCGCATGCCGCACGCGCGTGTGGATGTGCACGTTTGTTTGTTTGTCTGTATGTATGTGTGTGTGTGTGTGTGTGTGTGTGTGTGTGTGCGCGCATGCGCGGTGAGGTGATTTGAGCATGGGCTTGGGAGCTGGCATCCCCTTCCCCTCTTGTCTCACCGGTACTCTGAGCCGGCTAAGATGACGAGGGAAGAGGGAGGGAAGGACGAAGGAGGACAAGTCTCATTGGGCGCTCCTCACCGCAAGCGCGCGCGCGCACGCGCACACACACACACACACACACACACACGCGCGCAACACACCTCTCAGACGGTCTTGTTCGAGGCCAGGAGCTTCTGCACGAGCTTGCGCGAGCGCGAGTGAGCGCCACCCTTCTTGCCGGCAGCCGGACGCTTGAGGGCGCCCGCCACCGCCTTGGATCGAGAGGCCTCCACGGCCACAAGCTTGTCGAGGGTCATGGCCGGGGCAGAGCCCGCCTCCTGCGAGCTGGTCAGCTTCCCAAGGGAGTCCATCCCGCGAGAGAGGGTTCGCTTGATGGCGCGCAGACGCGACGCGTGGGCATTCTTCGCGCGCAGGGCTTGGGTCTGGGAGTCTGAGTAGTTGGAAAAGAAAAGCGGCGCGCCTGACCCGGTGCGGGCATTGGCTGTGATGCGAGCGAAGGAAGGGAAGGCGCCGGGGAGATGAGCCGACAGGGAGGCCGTTAGACAGGCGATGGAGGCGCCAAAAGCCCATGCAAAAGCCCGAAGGGGGAAGGGGAAAAAAAAAAGGAAAAGAAGAAAAAAGAAGCCCACCACGCACCAGCCGGAGTGCGATGCGAAGACCGACTGAGAGCGGCATTGCGGAAGTGCATGGCCTTGTCAACACGGCGCTTGTCAATGGGCGGAGCCAGCAGAGCAGCCCCGGGAACAGTCGCGCCATCATCCTCATCGTCATCGAACACCACCACCTGCGTCCGATCGCCGAGCTTACGCGCGATCACCTGGCCGATGGAGGTCGACGAAGCAGCGCGCTGCTGACGGGCAAAGTCCTCCGAAAAGGCATCCCGCGCGGCAGTCGCCTGCTGACGCTCCTCCAGCCCGGCATCATAGGCCACCGCTTGCTCCAGCAGACCGAGGTCCAGCTCGGTGGTCGCCGGAAGCGGGGCCGACGCCACCGAAGGGGCATCCTCAGACTCGGAGTCCGAACCAGCCGGCCCAGCGGCACTCAGCTCCAGGGCCTGCTGACGGCGGGTCTTGGCCTCGCGCTGCCGACGATTGCGCTCCTCGATGGCCACCAGGCGCCGGATGGCCGCCTCCTTGGCCAGGCGCGAAGCGGCACGCTCCTTCAGCAGCAGCTCCTTGGCCGAGGCGGTGGAGATCGAGGTCGACACGCTCTCCGGCGCGGCATCGTCATCCTCATCGTCTGAAATCGGGGCATAGATGGAAGAGTACTGGCTGAAGGGCTTGGCCACCGTCGGAACGGGAACCAGAGGAACTGCATCATCGTCATCATCGTCGCTGTCAAAGCGAGTGACAGTCGGCTTCGCCGCCTCCTGAGCCGGGGCTTCTTCCTTGACAGGGGTTTGCTTCGCCTTCTTTGCAGCTGGCGAGGCGACGGCGGTGGCCTTACGCTTGTTGCCAGCCGGAGTAGCAGGAGTTTCGGCAACAGTAGAGGCCTCCTCAGTGGTGGGGGCCGCATCTACAGTGGTAGTGCCATTGGTAGCAGGAGTCCCGGTAACAGCGGAAGTCTCAGCAACAACGGGAGTCTCGGCAGTAGCAGAAGTCTCGGTAGAAGTGGGAGTCTCGGCAGCAGCGGGAGTCTCGGCAGCAGCGGGAGTCTCGGTAGAAGTGGGGGCCTCAACGTCAGCCGGAGTCTCGACCTCAGCTGGGAGATCATCAGTCTTCTTCGCCAGAGGCTGCTTGCGACCAGTGGCCTTGGGGGTGGCGGCGGCCTTCGGGGTGGCCGGGGTCTTCGGGGTGGCCGGGGTCTTCGCGGCCCTCGGAGTGGTGGCCCGAGGGGTGGCAGCCCGAGAGGTAGCAGCCCGAAGGGTAGCAGCCCGGGGAGTGGTGGCAGCGTTGGGGGTGGTTGCAGACTTCATAGTGGCAGCCCTCCGTGGATTGGTCCGCTTCGGGGTCTCGTTCTCCATGGTTAAAGTTGTGGAAGAGGGGGAGCAGGGAGGAGAGCAGAGAGGTGGGCGAGGAAAGGTTATGTGCGAGTAGAACGAGAGAGGAAGAGAGGAAGAGAGGGAGAGATGAGGGGGGACTTATTGAAAGGATGTGTTCAGAGTCATCAACGATCAAGCAGTGCCTCTTCACCCTCCTTGTGAAGTGGTGTGCCACTGTGGCTCGCCACTGGCAGGCTCCACCACAGAGGCGCGGCCTCAGGCACGGGCGGGGGGGGGGGGGGGGGCACGCCTCACGGGCTCGGGGTCAAGATCTCTCCGGTCTGGTCCGGGGCAAAGGCATGCCCGCGCGGGTCTACCCCCCCCCCCCCCCCCCCCCCCCCCCCCCCCCCAGAGCCGGCGAGCGGGGGAAAAGGGCCGCGGATGCCATGATGTCGCCCGAACACATGGAGGAGCACGTGTACACGTGATACAAATACACCTGCAGAGCCTACCCCACAGGTATGCTCCTCTTTTGCCAGGAGTGAGAGGCTGAAGGGGGGGCGGAATCGAGTGAGGCCAGAGGAGGTGTGTGTATGTGTGTGCGTGTGGGTGGGCTTATATTTCACTGACAGTGCTATAGGACGTAATTCCAAAGCCAGCCTAGAGCGCCGTCTGGAAGTGGTTCCGGAAGAAACGCAGACCTTGGACACTTTCGTCCCGACAGAGGAGCCCGGTGCGCTCGGCAAGCTATTCATCGGTCACAAAGCGACGTGCGAGATGTACAGACATTGCGTGTGTGTGTGTGTGTGTGTGTGTGTGTGTGTGTACACGTGTTAGCAGGCGTTCCACAAGATGTCTCGGCCATGGCGCCGGGATGGGTCAGCAAGGCGCACCATGAGGAACTCTTGCGCCAGAATAATACCAACGCGCTCGGCCACCGCAACATCAGCCGGAGTAACGCCGGTCGCAGCATCAGGGGACTCATTGTCGGGGAAAAGATTCAGCACACGGTCGACCACGGCATCATCGGTGAAGGTGTCCGCATTCAGCACCAGCACCACGCCACTGGGAAGCCGGCGCGTGGCAAAACGCCCGCTCCCGGTCGAGGAGACCGAGGGGAGAAGATCCGCCGCGCGAGCCAGATCGGCCGGGGAAACCAGAGCTGCGCATTTCCAAGCCACCCAAGAGAGGAGGAGAAGGAGGGGGTGTGTGCGTGTGTGCGTGCGTGAGAGAGAGAGACAAAGGAAAGGACAGGGGGGCTCGCCATGTGGAATCTGGCCAGGGGAGCCGGGAGCACGTATACGCACCTCCAGCACCGCGAGCGCGATTGAAGTCACAGAAGAGATCGGTCAATGTGATTGCCTGGACATTCTTGCGCTGCAGTAGGCGGCCCACGAAGGAGGAAAGCTCGCGACTAAGAGCCTGCCAGTAGTCTCCACCGGCGGTGTCGCTAGCAAGATTGGCGTGTCAGTTCGGAGGGGGAGTGGGAGGAGGGGGGCGTGGCGGGAGATGGATGGCAGGGCTCCTCTGCAGCATCATACCGGGTGACAGGACTCGTGATGCCCAAGTCCTGGAGGTAATCCCGGACACACGATGACTCTTGGTCAAGGGAGTCCGTGCTTTCTTCGCCATGCTCCTCGGCCTGCTGACGCTTCAGGCGGACATTGTGGGCCTTGACCAGCTCGACCTATTTGCCCAAATATATGTCCCCACAAGGGGGTGCGTGGGGAGGGGCATGCATGAATGCAGGACAGGGGCCAACAGCGAGGCAGGGGTTAAATGGTGAAATGGAGAGGCGCCAGGAGGAAACCCCACGTACAATGGCCTGTGCGCGGAACATGAGTGTTTCGAGGTCCGATGCTTCGGTGTTGACGGTCTCCAGCGCGCGTTGACGGCTGGCCGCGGCCGCGGCCATGGCCTGAGCAATGCCCGACTGCCGTGTGCTGGTTGTGTTGCGCGAGCGCTCATCATTGAGATGTTGCTACCATGGGGGGCGGAGGTGAGCGACCTCCACGAGGCAGATGCAGCATCGGTGGAGGCAGGGACAGAGGCCGAGCGGTGACGTACCACGGCCTGGCGTAGCCAGTCCCGACGCTGAAGGGCCTTCTCCAGGGCGGCCAGGAAGGCCGGTTGCCCACCGGCACGGAAAGACAGGTGAATTTGTTGGCCCCAGTCAACTTGGTTGGGGAGGGTGGCGGCGATGCGCGGCTCCACCAGTCGCACAAGTTGCCGGGCACTGGGGGGGAAGCAACCAGCGTCAGAGCCGACACAAGGAGGCGCCGCGAAAAAAAAAACAAACAAACCCCACGGTCAAAGGGCCAGGGGGAAGTTCACCCAAGAGCAGGCGCACCTTTGCCCGGAGGGGGATGATTGAACCAAGGAATGGATCGTGCTAGCTGGCTGGAAGTCCGGCAAAAGGCAGCGCACACGAAGGACCCGCTCGTCGAAGCGCTCCAACCGGGTGTCCTGTCCACTTGACTCTTGTTGATGGTGGCCAAGGAACGATGTGAAGTCCGCATCGCCCACCAGCGGCGGGTCCACCGAGAGCAGGACCCGCGCCGACTTGAAGGGCATGGCGATGCGCCGGCCGAGAGCCCGAACCCGGTCCAGTTCCAGAAACCAAGAGGCCCGCCCGGGCGTGGGGGTGCCATCGGCACTGGCCTCGGTGAAGAGCACCCGGTGGCTGGTGAGCGTCGCGGTGACCGGGTGGGAGGCAGGGCTTTTGGCGTTCCTGTGAGGTCGATTGGAAGGGCCCAGTTAGTGGTCGAGTGAGGTGTGGCCCGGCCCGAGTCGGGCCCCGGGAGAAGCACCAGCAAGCATCGCACCCAAAGTACAGGGCAATATCTGCCTGCGAGTGGAGGACCACTTCGCGATCAGCACGAATGCCCGCCGGAATCGGATCCCCGGCTGCGGGGGTCCCGGCAGCCGGGCCCACACGCCGCAGCGATGGATGGCTTGGATGATGTCCGGCGCAAAGGGCACTTACATCGGCCGCCTGCTGCTCAAGGGCTCGCGTAAATTGGAAGGGGTCTGCCAGGGGGATGTCATCGAAGGAGGATACAGCCGCCTGTGAGGAAACCGCCATGGCCGATAGCGAGGGAAGCAGAGTCTCGGTGGGCGGGGCAGCAGCCGGGACTGTGGCAGCCGCCGGGGCCGCGCCAGACATGGTAGTCGTCATGGTCGGCGGTCCGGATGCTGTTGGTGTGGCTGTGGAAGGGGTGTTAGGCCGCGCAAAGTTTTCATACGGATTAAAGGCCGGAGTTGCGTGCTGCCCGCCGATGCCTGGCGGGGCTTGGGAGGATGCCGCGGTATAGGGATTGTGCGGCTGCTGCGGCTGCGGCTGCGGCTGCTGCGAGTGCGGCGACATTTGCTGCTGGTAAGGTGATGGCCGGGCGGGAGGCTCGCGCTTGGGATCTGAGGTGTATGGCGTGGGGGCGGGACTCGGGGTCGAGGAATATGGCGTCGGGGGCCCCTGCGAGGCTGGGAAGGAGGTTGACGAGGGCACGGTGCCGGTGGCGTAGGGGCTCGAAACGACGGGCACCGTGGGCGTGCCCGCGGCCAAAGACCCGGTGCTGGTGGAGTAGGGACTGGCGACCACCGGAGCGGTGGCCGAGTATGGAGCGCCAGGTGGCGGCGCGGTCGGGGCCGCTGTGGCCGGTGCGGCGTAGGGATTGCTCGGCGCCGCCGTGGCCGATGTATTATACGGGTTGCTTGGCGTGGCCGGAGTGAATGAGCCCGAGCCGTAGGGGCTGTGGGTGCTTCCACCAGGGACCGGGGCGTACGGCGAGCCACCTGGCACCGGGCCGGCGTAGGATGGATTGCCGCCACTGCCGCCGCCGCCGCCGCCGCCGCCACCAGCGGCCGGGGCATATGGAGTCCCGGCATTGCCGCTGGCAGCCGGGGCATACGGACCTGGAGCGCCTGTGGCTGGGTTGCCGGCGGCCGGAGCATAGGGTCCTGCCATGTATGGTCCCGAGGGATAGGGGGTGGCTCCGGGTGGCGAGTAAGGCCCAGTGGTCGATCCGTAGGGCGAATAGGGGCCCGAAGGGGGGGCCATTTGGCTGCCGGTGGGATTGTACAGGCCACTCGGCCCGGGAGCAGGGGCATAGTATGGCCCGGATCCGGAGGAGGGCTGCGCGAGTCCCGTGGACCCATGATAGCTGGATGACGGCCGCGCCGGGGCCGGGGCCGGGGCCGGGGCATGGCCATACGGCGGGTAGGGGGCGGGGTTGGCGCCGGGCGTCGCGCCGTAAGGCCCAGCCGGGGGGTAGGGCGCCGCGCCTGGGTAGGCACCGTACGGCGAGGGGCCTGGTGGCGGAGCGCCATAGTATGGTGCCTGTCCCGTGCCGTAAGGTGAGTAGGGATTACTCATGATTGATGGGGGGGGGGGGGGGGGGGAAGGGAGGACCAAGGGGATGAAGGGTGGCGAGAGAGAGAGGAGGGAGCAGGGAGGGAGCAAAGAGGGGGCAAGGAGGACGAGGAGGAGACTGGAGCGTGTGCGTGCAGGTAGGTAGATCTCGACACTGGCCGGGCTGGCAGGCGCGATCCAGCTGGCCTGGAATGCCAAATATGGTGACATCCAGCCGCCATCTCCCGGCAGTCCCTCCGTCGGTGGAAGAGGGGCCCGGCCCTGGGCGGCAAGCACAAGTGCCGGCGCGAGGGCACCGTTTGATCCCCCTCGGACCGTCTTTTTTTTTTGTCCCCTCCCTGGCCAGGCCGGAGATTCAAGAGGGCGGGTGTCGGGAGAGAACAAGGGTGCGAGCCCCGGGGTGTGATGATGTAGCCCCTTCTCGGCGGAGGGCCGCCGGGGGGAGGGGCCGGGGGTGTTTAGCGAGGTCAGTTGGCAGGGGCGTGTACCCCCGCACTCGGGGGCGTGATGTGCACGCCTATGTGTCCACCAAAGTATCACGCCCGCTGGCGGAGCGCTCGGCGCTCCCCGGTATCAGTTACGCCGCGGATGTCGGGTATCAGTTAATGCACAGCAGGGGCCGGTCACCGGGCTGCGCGTGGGCACCTCTTCCCGCTAACTTGGTCGTCGCCGCCCCCATTCGGGGCCCGTCCGGTTGTTCTGGGACCGGCCCAAGCGTGAGATCGGTCTAGGCGCGCGTGCTTGGCCCCAGGGTGTGGAGGCGAGGGGGCCAGAGGAGCGGGGGCGCCTGCGTGCCCATGTTTGTGTTGGTACGTGGTGTACGTGTGTGGTTGTGGTTTTCAGTCATCATGGGGCCCAAGTGCGTGGGTCGCCCCGGCGCACACGGTGTCATGCCAGAGGAGGGCCACACCTGGGTGCCTGTTTTTTTTTTTGCCCAAGCTCCCTCGCCGCGGGGGGAGCGGGGGCCGGCCGGGGGCGGGCACCTCGTTGTAACCGCGCCTGCCTGGTGATGGCGCGAGCACAAGCCCGGTGTGCTGGGGCGATCTGCCCCCTCCGGGGGAGGGGGAAGGTTGCTGGCGAGTAGATCTCCCGCCAGGGGGGTGAGAAAATAAAATAAGATAAACAGCGCCCATATTTGTGGCCGAAAGACTCGCTCCACACCCGGCATTCTCCCTGCTCCTGCTCCGTGTCATCCTTGAATCGCATTTCCATCCCCCGCCCCCCCCCTCCCCCCCCCCTGCCGAACACTTCATCCCTCTTGGTGCAACGCACTGCCCCCTTCCCCCTTTCCCTGACCGCCCGCCATGGCCACCGAGTACTCTCCCCTGGCGGCTGATGTCTACTCGCACGCCTCGCTGGAGGGGTCGGCCAATCAGCATGCGCAGGACACGGCCGACTGGCGTGGAAGCACGTCCAGCGCTTCTGGCGTCGCCGGCACCGCGCCCGACCACGACAGCAAGCCCTCGAAGAAGATCTACATTGTGGTGGGCATTTTCTTCACCGTCCTCATCGCGGCCGGCGTCATGATGTGCATCATGCTGATTGATACTCTGACCGACCCGGAGGCGCGCTACGCGCATCTGAAGAACTTCTGCAGCCATGTGGGTCCCATTTCCAAGGCCGAGCTTTCCACTCGCCGGGCCCGCCTGGCCGAGGAGATGGTGCGCTGGACCCTCGCTCTCCTTGCCCTTCTCCTGCCCGCCCTTTCCCTGCCTGCCGCTCTCGTGTCCTTCTTTTTTTTTTTTTTTTTTGCCCGCCGCGTGCGTCGTCCAGTCTTCCTTCCTCGCGCGGCCGCTGACCACCCGGCCAATTCCCACCACCATAGGCTCATGCCGATGTGGATGTCTTCGTGGCCGAGGCCGGAAGCACTCTCTTCTATCTGACCGGCGCGGCCTGGGAGCAAAGTGAGCGCCCTTTCCTGGTGGTCTTGTCGCGCCTGGACAATTCGTCGGCCGACCCGCGCCAGCACGAGTACCTGGTCGTGTCTCCGGCCTTCGAGCATGACAAGGCCGTGGAGGAAGTTGGCCCGGGGGTTTCGCTGGTCTACTACCAGGAGGACCAGTCGCCGTATGCCGTGTTGACCAAGCACCTGGGCCTGGACGCCGGCACCGGGGCCCATGTGGTGGTGGACCGCGATGCACGGGGCTTCGTGCACTTCGGCCTGGCCGGAGCCCTGGCCCCGGGGCACACCGCCTCTTCCGACAATGGCGGGGCCTTGGTGCGACAGGTGCGTGGCATCAAGTCCACCGCCGAGGTGGCCATCATGCGCTGTGCCAATCTGGCCACCAAGGCCGCCATCCGGGCGGTGCTGGAGTCGGTCAAGGGGTCCACCACGCAGGCCGACGTTTCGGCTCGCATTGCCACCGCCCTCGAGATCGCCGGGCTCAGCAACACCTGGTCCATTGCGCTGTTTGGCCCGAATGCCGCGGCGCCGCATGGCATCGCCGGCAATGCCGGGCTCCGCCTGACCAAGGGCATGATGATTCTCCTGGATGCCGGCGGTCAGCTCCATGGGTACCAGTCGGACATCACCCGTACGGTGGTCTGGCCGCTGGGGGCCACCACCAGCGCCGATGGCCCGGAGCACTTTGCCCGGACGACGCTAGTTTGGGAAACGGTGCGCGATGCGCACATCGCCGCCCTGGCCGCCATTCGCCCTGGCGCCCTGGCGTCCGATGTCGACGCCGCGGCGCGGCGCGTGGTCCAGGCCGCCGGCTTCGGTGGCGACTACGAGGCCTTCACCCATCGTCTAGGCCACGGGATTGGCATCGATGGCCATGAGGACCCGTACATGAACCGCGGCAATGCCGAGGAGATTCAGGTGGGCCACTGTTTCTCCGTCGAGCCGGGCATCTACCTCAAGGATGAAGTGCGTCGGCACAGTCCGGCTCCGGGGTTTGCCGCCGGTGGTGGTTTTCCTTTCTCGCCCCTCCCTGACCTTCTTCTGACCCACCTGCTCCCTGGCCGCTCTGGTCCTTCTCTCTCCCCTCCTCCCTCGCGGCGCTTCACGTGTGGCATCTTCCTTCCCCCGTGTAGATGGGTGTCCGCATCGAGGACATTGTGTGTGTGACCAACTCCACCGCCCCCTACTACGAGCTGTTTGGCGCGACGTCGTATCTGCTGCAGGACCCTCTCAAGGACCATTGAGAGGACAGGCCGTGCATTGCTGGCGCCTCGTGCTTCCACACTGTTGCCCCCCCCC